AAACGTAGTCAAGAATTAAAAACACGACTACAGAAGTTGTGTCAGGATAAAACAGTCGCTGAGGTATCATTCTCAGGGTCTAATGCTAGGTGGACTCACTTTTCTTCGTCATGAAGAGAATAAACGAGTAGCACTACGCGGGAAAGAAGCTGGAAACCTCATGATGCAGAAACTTCGAGTTAAACAGGCAAGATTGTAATGGTCCTCCGCCGTTCACGTCGTGAATTATACGATTCTTAAATTTTTACGACACCTCTTCTGGTCTGGATCAATGCAAATGGCATTAATAATGTTCATGTGTGTTAGTCCCCTGATGACATCTCTCCAAGTCAATTAGGGTGTACTTCGTTTAGACGGAATGAAAAAGAAAAAAAAGAAAGTAGACGGCACCATGACAAGGAATCACTCTTCTTTGTTCGCATATCATCAGAGTGAAGTAAAGTACAAGCGTAGAAAGTATAAGAATGATAAGAAATACCGTGTCCCTTTTTCATTTACCTATCGTGGAACCTCATAGGTCCCCTATAAAATCGTTAGGCAAGTTTTCGGTGACTTCAAAAGGTTTCTGATATCGTTCTTTACAACGTCACTTTTTCTTCGCTTCTCTAGCATTACCTAATTAGTTCCCAATCAAAAACGGCATCAGACAAAGAGAGTACTCGTACTGTGGTTTTCAGAGCAGCAATTAATAGTATACAAAATTGAGCCGAATGGGACTGGTCTCCTAGTGGAACGAAAACGAAGTACCTTACTGAACTATACCATGCAAATGACATTGTCTTACCAGTCGACCCATCAACGGCAGCCTTCGCCTTCTAGCTGAAGCAAAGCACACAACTACGGCGAAAGCGGGCGTAGAGCTGAACCATACAAAGATAAAGATGATGAAGAATCCAAATGAGACGGTTAAAACAGAGTTATGATAGGGCAGCAGCCCGGTCAAAAAAATTCCGTAATTCAAATACGTTTACTATGGTAACTGTGATCATGACCTAAACCGTAGAATTGTGCTGGCTTCGTTCGCCTTTTTTGAGGCTTCTCCAAAATCCGTGTTGGACGACGAATAGCCATCTCCATTACTGCGCTGCTCTCAAGTCGATTTTGCTGCATGATTAGAAACAATGGTCTTTGGAAGAGTACACGACTACCGAGTGAACAGTCTCAAGTCGATTATGACGCCTGTTTGTACGATTGCCTCTGGAATGTTCATGTTTTGGCGTTAGCCGATCTCACAGACATCTATTTAATATGCATAGAGATAGAAAAATGGCGTAGTTCGACCATGTGCATTAAGGCAGCCAAGCCTCATTGACTCACTACCTGCTGACGTGAGAGCCAAAATATTTCCGACAAAACTACAGCGGCCAGCACCTCATCTTTCCTCAGTCAACGCAGTCAAGCAACTATTAATCTCTAAACGCGAAATGCTGACAACGACCGCCAAAAACCTTGATCAGCCCGTGGTTTTGCACAGAGGCTAAAGATGGTGAAAGAAAAGTAATAAACAAGAGATACCAGCTTCATCATCAGGTTTCGTTTCACGTAGCTGAACTTAAGGATCCTTTTGTCAGTCAGCTGTTCTGTTGTTAAGGAATTTACTGTCAATGTGCCCTTATGGATACATTCCCAATAAGCTTGTGCTTGGTAATGTTGCATAATCATTCTACAATAATGTGTCTACAGAGTGTACCTGTTATTCGTATCGCTTCAAAGTAGCCCCGCAGTCTGTTCCATGCAGAAGTAGGGGTCTTACTATTTTAGACCTTTCTCACATGTTCGTACCTTCTTATTAAATCGCACAGAACTCACCCCCTCAATTCGAGCAATGCCATTTTTGATCGACTTCACAATTCGCCGTCAATTGTTTCATTGCTTTGTACAATACAACCAGAATATTCGAATGCCTAGTACCTGGAATTATATAGACGCCTATGTGCGTTCAATGACGTCATTTGGCTTTAATTGCGTCCTCCCTGTGGAGAAAGCATACAAGATGTTTTATTCATGCTTTAACTCAGATGAGGTCCGCTTTTTGAAGAACCGCGATCCAGGCTTCGACATTTGGCTTCTACTCCTTCTCTACGTTCATTATATAACACCATATTACGTGTGGATGCATCTTACACGAAATGGGTCGGTTCTTCGTCTCCGTCGAGGACCAAATGGGCTCTGTATGGGACCTCCACTGAACCCCCACCTATTAGAGGATTCTTCTGTTTCAAGCATCTGTTTCGAGCTATGGTTGTTGCACGTGGTGCATACCTTGGACGTCTTTTTCTGGTATCGGTTTGTTTCTTATACTCCTGTACATTCTCCGCTTCGATTCATTCAATCATACACCTTCGATAGGTATGGCAAAAACATTTAAATGTCCGCATGTTGGTCGATGAGTGCTCTTCGCATCAAACTTCAAAAAGAGAAGCGGTGAAATCTTTTTGCTGTGTAACCTCAGCTGAACTGTCCCGCATTTGCATGTATATAGTGTTGTTCATTGTGAGTAAAACGAAATTTGGGTAGCCTTAATCGCATTGCTTTGCATTTTTTACACTTGCTCCTCAATCAGTCGTCAATCAGTCAATTAGTCGAGTTTATTTGCATGAACAACGGCAGCTGTTGCCAATACAAAACGGTATCATCACGCGTTAAAAATGGAAACCGTTTGGAATATATAGGATAATGAAAAAATAAACAGTTGTACGCTTAGTACCTTACTGCAGGGTTGTTTCCAATCAGTTTCCCTGCTGTTCTCCCTGTTTGGAACAAATGATAGAAGACGACGGGCGTAAATGTTCGACGACACAACGATTTATCGGTAGGAATGGTCCTGAATCGGTTGTAAGATCTCAAATACGTGCATTTCACCTCCTTGAACTTCTTGTGCAACTAGTGCTCAACGTCTGTTAACCAGACAGAGTGTTTGCCTCAGGCTGCAAGCCATTTCGATTGTTGATGTCGCCATCTGATCAGTTTGATGATCAGCACTGTGGTTACTGACATAGGAAATCTTCCTCGCTTTCCTTAGTGCCTGGAAGCCCTTGTTCAGTGAGTCAGAAATGAGTACTGGATGAGGGTAAGTGAGTGATGGTATGAAGCACCGGTAAACAAAGAGGGAAAGAACTTCCCTTTAAGATTTGATAAGTTATTTATCATGACGATAAGAGTTTATACGCTACGGAAACCAAAAAGCTTTATTTAGTTGTTGAAAAGTTAATGATGTTCGCTGTCTTAGCCACGGTTAAAGACGGCAGTTAAAAAGTACGATGTAAAGTCTTTTACTTGCCGACATGCACGATGACGTTCACCGGTTCATAATCTAAATAATAATAGTACGGAAATTAAATATCATGATATTATGAAAAACAGTTATGTAGCGTTTGATCTACAACAACTTGTTCCATTGGTTGTTTATAAAACTCTGGCCGATGATATTTCAGTGGTCACTCAAACTGACTGAGCTTATGCATTCAGTAAATGGTCCACTTTCATTAGACAATGTTTAAAGCCGCCGTTTAATTAGCAACATGATGTCTGTTCTTCCCTCATCAATGGAAATGGCATTCTTTGGACAAAGGAAGGGTCCTACGTTGGAAACGATGCTAAAATGCTCGATTTTACCAGTGCCCAGAGCTGTAAAATAAATTTCTGTCCTTCCATCCTCTCTTCATATGGAATTTTTAATAAAGCTCTTGTCGAGGTCGTTACACTCGACAATATTAAAGACGTTCGTCTCTTTCGTCCTCTTCGGTTGATGACGTTACCGGTGATCTGCGATTCCACTGAACCGCTTATTATGTCGTAGATTACAAAATTGGCATTCTACAGGGCATGCATAATTTAATTAGAAAGTTTGGAAATAAAAGGGATGGCCACATGAGTTTATTTTTAAAGATTTAAATAACTTTTCAAAAAAATCCTATAAATATTTTCTCACTATTGTCATTTTTACATAAGTGGATTTTTCTTTTAGGTTGTGTGTTCCTGTGTTTATTTGGCAAAAATTTAACGTCTGCTAAGCTTTCTACGTAACAATGGCTACAATGAGAAAGTTACGAAAAGACATTTATGGAAACCCGTTCAAAGGGTTCAAAATAAGTCTGCCGACACAAGTACTCTACTGCAGTCAGCTCCTTTATTTCCAAAGTCCCTAACAAACTCAAACTCTACCTAAAGAATAAGATTTTTACCTTGAGAAACAAGTGGTAAGTCGCTAACTTGCGAGCACCAGCAAGGTCATGGTGTTGTAGTTCCAGAATGGGCTCAAAGGTACGGCTA